AGCTGGCAACAATGCTCTTGGACAAGTAAGTCCTTCAGATATGACCAAATAGTACAACATGACAATAATAGTTGTAAAACAACGTGTTTGCTTCTTTGTAAAGGGAAGACAATATCAAGGTATACGTTTTGGTCCATATGGCCCAGTCTGAATGAGAAGGACTCATGTTTGAGGCCAGTGTCCACACATTGTTTAACTACCTGCCACAAGAGAAACATAAACATCCTTCACCATCCTCATGTCGTTCTAACGTCCAGCAATGGTCGGTTTTTAGGTACAGTTTGACCATTCAATATCTGGTCAAAAAGGAGACACGAGACTGCATGTGTCCCCTCTAAATCAGCCTGCCTCCATCCCACCAGCTGGAGCTCAGAGGCTGCCGCTCTGAGCACAGATAATGAATTGTCAACAATAACGTTCTCTCCTCAAGGTCCAGTCATTCAGGATTCTTCATGCCTCCATATAAGGAACACTCGCAGCCCGGATTAGTTGCTAAATCAAAGAATGATTTCCTAAATCAGATATGAACTTCTACAACTTATAAGCTAGATAATCATTAAATAAATGTTTGTTTATTACTACTTATAATAATTATAATATAATGAAATGTTTCAATAATCTGTGCTCAGTGATTGAAGTTTGAAATGAATGTTGTGTTATGATTACAGTGATTGAAATATGTTTCGGCATGTTAATATGACGAGGTCATCACCATTTGCACTCACACAAGAACAAAGTAAGGTTAAGTTAAACTCAAGACACACCTTTACCCAGATCAGAGCCTCCGGTGTCAAAGAAGGCGTGTTTCTGAGATTCTTGGTAATATTCCTCAAACTTGTCAACCTCTGGTTGGCTACACAATCATAACATGAGAACATTAAAACCAGATCACTCTGGTGATTCATTAGTTCTAGAGAAGTTTCAGACCGGCCACCTGAAGCAAAACGCTCTTTATCCATCAAAGCTTTTGACACGTCGTCAAAATCTTTTTGCACCTGCGAAGCTGACAGCAAAACAGTTCCTGCAGAACAAGCTGATATTACCAGACGCGTGGTTCCATCCATCTGTCGTGACCCGAGACATCTCTGGACTGAAGAGTCGGTGCCACGGTATTCTACAGCCCTCTGGTGCCAGAGGTCAGCCAACCTCTCTGACCTTCGGATCCACCAAGAGGGTCTCTGAATCCGGGTGAAGTAGACACACAGATAGCGTCTGATGCCTTTTGATAATAATCAACTTCATAGCTTAACGCTAACCAAATTCCTTTATATCCAGAACTCAGCTCTCCTAGATACGGAAGTTCTGACTAACATCGCATTCACACATAGGTTCATACATCACATTCAGTTCCATTCATCACAGTAAATGTTAGTTAACTTGTCATGTTTTAATTGTTGGTAAAATAAATTCTTACTTTTATAAACCTGACTGTTTTCTAAATCAAAACAAAGTGTGTACAATCCCCTCATAAATAAAGAATCCTAGAATCTTCTGATTAAACACCGTAAAGACCAAGCAGGTTGATATTCTATATTTAGTTAGAGTATCACAGCTTATTGGTCATAAGTTGAGGTAATATATATATATTGAGCTCTTAAAGCACTCAATTTCCCAAACCCTACATCGTGTCAAACCGTTTACTTTTTTGCTCATCCTCCTCTCCTCCCTGAGGTGTCCTCCAACCTTCTCAGAGCCTCCTCTGACTTAATAATGAGAGGCACTTTCCTGGCAGCTCACCCGATTGGAGTCAGTTAGAACTGAAAATCATGAATACATTTTCTACTGAAGATTTTTTGGGAGAACTACACACCCCAGGGCTTTTTTCCAGGAGTTAATAGATCTGTCAGACCTGGGTCTGTTGCACTCTCACTGAGGTCAAAGAACAGAGTAGATCAGATAAATGTTGTCTGCTGAAATGAGATGCTTCTCTCCTGCTGTTGGGATCTGTCAGGGATGCTGGTCAGGCACCAGCCTAAGGCCCTGTCCACACGTAGCCGGGGATCTGCCAAAACGTAGATATTTTTCTACGTTTTGGCCTGTCATCCACACGAAAACGGAGTTTTTTCACACGAAAACGGATCTTTTTAAAAACTCCGGCCAAAGTGAAGATCTGCGTTTTCTCCGTTTTGGGTGTCTGTGTGTGGACAGACAAAACCGGAGTTTTAAGGTCCGCAACGTCACTTTCCGCGACCAAAAAAATGCTGACATCACGTGTGCGACCTGTGTTTACACTAGCCGACAGCATGGATGCCCTCAGAGCTGCGCTCGCTTTATCAATTGTCCAAGCGCTTTTTGCTTGTTTGTTTTTGCAAGCGGAATTACTGCTCCTTGCGGAAGATCACAGACGAAGGACGAGGTTAAGAACGGGGGAAGTACTGCCGCCTACAGGTCTGGCATGTCCTTAACAACGTATTTATCCGGGTACGTGTGGACAGAGTTTGTTTTAAACGAGGTGGTGTGGATGCAAGTTTTTGGAGGGGCGAATATTCGTTTTTAAAAAAAACCGGCTACGTGTGGACTAGGCCTGAGTTAACATTTTAAACAGGTTATGCTATCTGTGGCTTCGTGTGATGATTGTAGACCAGTGAGACGTAATGCAGTAAATCTTCTGTTTTCTCATTAAGACTGAAGCTTTATCCTCATTTCATCTTGAACCCAGCCAACCAAAGCTGCTTGAGATGTGCTGTCTCAGTCTGATAGAAGCGGTGCGAGTTTCAACAGAGCCTTTGCAGACAGTAACAACGACTTCTGCAGTAAAACGTCAAGGTTACAGGAATGATATTCTGCTGTGAAACTGAAACTGAAATGGGAGATGACTGAGACGGAAAGGCAGACATAAATGCTGGGAATACTCACGCAATCCTAGCATTAGAAATAAAAATGGCTTTTGCAAAGACAGAAGTGTTTCGGCACACTTGTGTGTTCACCAACAAGCTGTGTTTTGGTAATTAGGATCACCATCAATCATTCATGGTAGCACTGATATTATGTAAATCACCACCAGTAAAATTAGGGAAAAGGTGGGGAAATTAATTTCCAGTGACTACATTTTATTTCAAATGAAACAAGATGAACAAAAACACTCAGTATTGCATCAAATTCTGCTTACCGTTGAACTGGGTGTGTTGGTCCCATATCCTGAGGAAGGCAGAGAGGCCAGAGACCACCTACGACCATCAGCTCTGACAAAATCAAGAAGTGGACATTACTTAAACAGGGAGAGGATTAAAACTGTACATCTCTGTCACTTCATATTTGTATTTAACAAGTGGTGGTTGAACATATTCTTCACTTTCTATGAAACCTGTTTCATTTGTACTCCTTTCACCACTCTGCTCCCTAAGGCCTCCTCCAACCATCCCAGAGTCTGACGCCTCCTCTGAGTGAGTAACGAGGGTCCTGGCACCTCGCCTGATTCAGCCTGCTGTCATGCCTCTGTCACACAGCCATGGTGGAAGCAGGCCAAGACAAAGACACCCTTCTTTCTGTGAACGTGTGAGTGATTGGGTGTGCTTCCTGTTCAGATTTCATGGTGCGTTTATGTGTGAAGAATTATTCTATATACAATTTGACTTACTAACTAAGCTGCTTTTGAGTTCCTTTTTGTGGGACAAAGAAGAAATGCAAACCTTCGAGAAGAAGCAAAGGAGAAGTGAGCAGGTCCGCTTGGTGAGAAGTTGCGTGGGCTATCCAGTGGACTGCTTCCTAAAATACCACACAGAGACAAGAGACACTGCTGATTAAAAACCGGGATACAACAAGCATACCAAAATTTATTGTTTGAGGAATGATTTATTTTAAACAAAAAAACTCAAATTGCAAATTGTAGAAGTTTTATTTCCTATATTTTATTTATTTGCACAATAGATAGAAGATACAATAAACAGTACATAAGGATTCAGATGCTGGAGGAGGCAAAAGCCAGTGAGGCTGACCTGAAGCCTTCACCAAAAACATTTAGACATAAAATCATTGATTACAAATTATTCGCCCATTCACTGCCAATGAAGACTAAAGTCGTCACTTGCATTTTTTTTACTGTGTGGGCGTCGGAAGGAGCCCCCGCACCGTGAGAACAAACATCTCAGCTCTGAAGCCGATCTTCATCATTCATACGTCTCATGTCACATGATCAGGATGCAGAAAATCCATGTGTTAGGAGATCGTTTTGGGCTGCTGCTTTAAAAAAGTGAGGCGCGTACAGGAAAAGCTTCTGCCGATCACAATTCAACAAAGGATTGTGAAAGAACGGATAACGCTCGAAACGCGCACATTCTTCCTGATGTAAGAGGTGAGTCTACGCTTTGTTTTAGTTGTTTTGGTTGTTTTGGCGTCGACATCATCCTAGCGCGCAACGTTCTGTGACTCTTAAAAAAAACAGTAAAAACAGTGAGAAACGCTGGCAGCGAATGGGTTAAGACAATATTAAAAGACAGCTTGGAGATTAGCTTAATCAAGTCACCCCCAAATAAACTTTTTTTTTGCTGATAAACTAAATAAACGAGTGTCTAATCGTGCTGCAGACACGTGTCGTCAATAATTTGGCATTTCAGTGCATCTTAGTTAAAATTTAAATATTCTGCCTAAAACTGGCAGTGTTGTGCCGTTGTCAGGTAAAAACTCTGCACTGTATTTTAATTTAAATCTGCCACCGCTATTGGCTAAGAAGTATGCTATGATGTAAACTGGTACATTATGATGTCACAATGCTGTCGTGAGCCTGAGTGTGTATTTGTTAGCGGCTCCGCCCTCTCGGTCTGCCAGGCAACAGCATGTGTTGCATTTTCAAACATGAAGTTGGAGTGGAGTTAGACTCTGGTAGGGGTTGACTTGCTCCCCAAATCAACTATTTTTTTTCTGATAAACTATATAAATGCGTGTCTAATCGTGCTGCAGACACGTGTAGTCAATAGTTTTGCACTTTAATGCATTTTAGTTAAAATTTTAATATTCTGCCTGAAACTGTCAGTTTCATGTCATTGTCAGGTAAAAACTCTTCACTGCATTTGAATTTAAATCTGCCATCGCTATTGGCTAAGAGGTATGCTATGATGTAAACTGGTACATTATGATGTCACAATGTCGTGAGTGTGTGTATTTGTTAGTGGCTCCACCCTCTCGGTTTGCTAGGCAACAGCATTTGTTGCATTTTTCAAACATGAAGTGGGAGTGAAGTACACTTCTTGTAAGGGGTGACTTGCTCTTTAAGTATTACATTAAGTATCAGCTGTAGAACGCTGGCTTGCCAGAAAGGAAAATGGTTTCACACTATTGCAGCCCTAAAGCCGATAGAGAATTCACAAAGAGAGATATTTAAGGGAATGGAGATCCATTGACTGTTGCATATTGCAGTGAGATGCAAACGTTTGGGCAGCCTTCATAATTTACCTGTTAAATATATCATACATGGAGACACACACAGTGATATTTGAGAAGTGAAACAAAGTCGAGTTGAGTTATTTAGGCATAACAATACTAACCTGGCCTGCCAGACCCGTCCTCTGTTTAATTCTGCACAGAGAACTAGTCTGGTTTCTCACAGGCAGAGAGGAACATGAGGGGCGGGACTAGCCAGCTCAAAAATAACCAATCAGAAAAAAGACGGAAATGCCAACTGTAACGCTGTAGTTTTTTAGCTGTAGTCAAAAATGGTGTCTGGCGACAGCACAAGCATCTTTGTTTAGAAGAAAGGCTTTTAGTGCTTCTTCTTGTTGTGGTTTTAAAAAACATGTCCCAAGTCATTTAGAACAGAGAAAAGAGCTGCAGCCAACCCCGCTTCAGACGCCATGTTCATAGTTGATGATAAACTCAGAGTTGCAGTGTGTGTTTGTGTGTGATGAACGCTGCTCAGCGCTGACTGGCTCGGTTGGAATTCTCAGGGGGTGGGGTTATTTGAATAGAAGACTTCCCAGCCCCTTGCTTCCCGTCAACGCTGCAAAACCCGTGGTGAACGAGCTTTTTCTGTCTGCGCTCCAAAACTTTGGAATGATCTCCCACTGAACATCAGAATCTCCTCCTCCATTGGGGTTTTTAAGTCCCACTTCAAGACTTATTTTTATTCTCTTGCTTTTACTACCTAGCTATTTTATCGATGGTTTATTTACACTGTTCTTTGACTGATTTTATTGACTTCTCATGGTTCTTTTTGTTCTGCTCTAGTTGTTTTATTCTTTTATATTATTCTTTTAACCCTATATGTTTTTACCCCTGTACAGCACTTTGGTCAGCTCACATGCTGTTTTTAAATGTGCTTTATCAAATAAATGGAATGGAATGGAATGGAATGAATAAGGAAAGCATGGGGCTGGCTGGTCAGGCTAGCATTATTCATGAAGGAAAAAGAACACAGCATTCCAGGAAAAACACTTGCTACCTACAGTAAAACATGGTGGTGGTTCCATCATGCTGTGGGCTGTGTGGCAAGTGCAGGGACTGGGAATCTTGTTAAAATTTGAGGGAGGCATGGATTCCACTCAATATCAGCAGATTCTGGAGACCAATGTCCAGGAATCAGTGACAAAGCTGAAGCTGCTAAACTTCAAAGTCCCCCAAATGGGGGATGTTAGGGCCCAAAGGCTCGGAAGGAAAGGTCCGGAGGGTCAGATCTGGCCCGCGGGCTGCCAGTTGAGATTCACTAGTTTAGAAGCTGTTATTTCTGCAAAATTAGGTTCTACTAAATATTGATTTAATTTCTTTTTTGTGATGCCCTAATATATGCACATGTCTAATTTAGTTTAAACAATTATTGCACACTTATTATCCTATAAATCAAATAAACTTCTCATATATCACTGTGTGTCTCCTATATGATATATTTAACTGATATATTTCTTATCATAACAACCAACGATTATAAAGGCAAATCATGAAGATTAACAAGGCTGCTCAAACTTTTGCATCCTAGTCTACGTGAATTTTACAACTCAGCCTTGGTTTGAATTGAAATAAAATTTGCAGTTGATACCTGGAGTAACTCAGTAGATTAGATTTAAATGTGGGTAAAATTTTATTGTAAGACATTTTTTCACTAAATGTAATGCAATTGAATTTGTCTTTACGTTTAAAGATGATTAATTAATTTCTAACCATGTATCACAAGCCACTAGACCAGAATTGGCATTCTCAATCAAGGTATTAATGTTGGAGTGTGACAAAACTAATATTGCGTCATGGGCAAACATAATTGGTGATATCAGGGTTGATACATCAAATATATTATTAATATACATATGAAACAACAGTAGACCAAGAATGGAACCCTGCGGTACCCCTCAGTGGAGACTAGTTCTGTTAGATGTCTGTTATGATGTCTTCTGTCTCTGCTTCTCCGTCTCCTATCTCTTGCCCTCTGTGTCAGATGTTTAGTTACTCCTCTGCCTCCTTTAGTGATAATGGTACGTGTAATAAATGTAGCAATTTTGTAGCTTTGGAGGCGAGGGTGTCGGAATTGGAGGCCCGGCTCTGTGCTGTTGAAAATCCCATAGATAGCAATAGCTACTTAGCTAGCGTGGGGCTAACTAGATCAGAATGATAAATGACCTGCACTTGTATAGCGCCTCTCAGAGTAAGGACTCCAAAGTGCTTTACACTACAGTGTATCATTCATCCATTCACACACACATTCACACACTGATGGTGATGAGCTACGGTGTAGCCACAGCTGCCCTGGGGCGCACTGACAGAGGCGAGGCTGCCGAGCACAGGCGCCACCGGTCCCTCCGACCACCACCAGCAGGCAAGGTGGGTTAATTGTCTTGCCCAAGGACACAACAGCAGAATTCTCTGTCCAGAGCCAGGATCGAACCTGCAACCTTCCGATTACTGGACAAGCCGCTCAACCTGTTGAGCTACTGCTGCCCCTAACTAGAACCACCCCGTAGCGGTCCTCCAGCAGAACCCGAGCAGCCGGGACCTCAGGCCGGCTGGGTGATGGTAAGTAGGTAGCATGGAACCCAGCCCGTGGGACACCATCAACGTTTCTAACAGATTTTCCCTGCTCAGTGACGCACCCACTGACAAGCCGACTGATCATTGGCAGCTCCATAGTCAGAAACGTGGCATTACAGACTCCAGCAACCCTAGTTAAATGTTTACCTGGGGCCAGAGCGGGCGACATTAAATCTTACCTGAAACTGCTGGCTAAGGATAAGCGTAAATACAGTAAGATTGTTGTTCATGCTGGCGGTAACGACACCCGTTTACGCCAATCGGAGGTTACTAAAATTAATGTTGCTTCGGAGTGTAAGTTTGACAAAACAATGTCGGACTCCGTCATTTTCTCTGGCCTCCTGCCTGATCGGACCAGTGACGACATGTTTAGCCGCATGCTGTCCTTCAACTGCTGGTTGTCTAGGTGGTGTCCTGAAAACAACGTGGGCTACATTGATAATTGGAAAACTTTTTGGGGAAAACCTGGTCTGATGCGGAGAGACGGCATCCATCCCTCTTTGGATGGAGCAGCTCTTCTTTCTAGGAACATGGCCAGTTTTATTAGTCCTCCATGACAACCCAGGGTCCAGACCAGGAAGCAGAGTCATAGTTTAACACACCCCTCTGCAGCTTCTGTACTGTTACCCACCCACTACCCCATAGAGACAGTGTCCTGCCCACGGCCAAAATCACACAGATTAAATATCAGGCTTAATAAAGCAAATCATGGAAATCTCATAAATATTAGAACAAATTCAACTGAGCAGAAAACTAGAAAAATTAAATGTGGGTTATTGAACATTAGGTCAATTTTTTCTAAGACTTTGTTAGTTAATGACTTGATTTGTGATAATCTGATTTCTTTGCTCTCTCTCACAGAATCCTGGCTGCAGCAAGAGGACTATGTTAGTTTAAAAGAGTCAACTCCTTCAAATTATTTAAATCATCATATTGCTCAAAGTACAGGGCAAGGAGGAGTAGCAACCATTTTTCATTCAGACCTATTAATCAATCACTTAACAATTAATAGTTACAGTTCTTTTGGACATATTATTCTTAGTTTTCCTAATCCAGATTGCAAAACCGTAAACCATGCTTGTTTGTTGTTTTGTATCGTCCACCAAGCCCTTACTCTTGAGTTTTTGGATCAGATCTCTGATTTTCTACATTGGCTGTCTGTTAAATTCAGAATAGATTTTAAGATCCTCCTTCTCACATATAAAGCTCTTAATAATCAATCTCCATCATACATCAGTGACCTGATTGTTCCATACGTTCCTAACCGAGCACTTCGCTCTCAGACTGCAAGTTTACTGGTGGTTCCCAGAATATCTAAAAATAGGATGGGAGACAGATCTTTTAGCTATCAGGCTCCTCTCCTGTGGAACCAGCTCCCAGCTTTAGTCCGTGAGGCAGACACCTGGTCTACTTTTAAGACTAGGCTTAAAACCTTTTTATTTGATAGGGCCTATGGTTAAAATCTGATGTTAGCCCAGATCTGGACAAGTGGGGGAGTACAGGGAGGTGGAGTGTACAGTCGGTAAAGACGACTCTCCCTTGCCCTGCCTCCAACATGTCTCCATCTAAAAGGCTAGGTTATCCAGAGTTATCTCTGTAGTTTTGCTGCTATAGGCTTAGACTGCTGGAGGACACACTGACCACTTTCCACACTCGACTACTTTCTTCTACAGTCTGCTCTTTAACTGTATTATTTCCTGCTATTTCAGCTGTTAACTTTATTTTCTCTCTAAGTGTTTTTCCCCAGAAGAAGCTACAATGACGTTCTGCTGAGCTGTGGTGACCTCATGGAGGGGGCCATCGGCTTGAACACTGTTGCTAACCACTTAAACATTCTCCCTCTCCTGATAATAACGTTTTACTTTCCTTGACGTTGGACGTGTTACTACTAGTTTACCCATTGAATTATAGTTTCACTAGGATAAATACAGTAAAGTTTATCTCTCACCAAATAGAATATTTACTAAGAAATCACAATGTAACCATAGAAACATTACTTGTTATATATGTTGTGTGTGTGTGTGTGTGTGTGTCCATATGTTTGTGTTTGTGTCGTTCTAACACTGGAGCCACTGTGAGAGTGAGTCATTGCACGTGTGTGTGTGTGTGTGTGTGTGTGTGTGTGTGTGTGTGTGTGTGTGTGTGTGTGTGTGTGTGTGTGTGTGTGTGTGTGTGTGTGTCTGTGTGTCTGTGTGTGTGTGTGTGTGTGTGTCTGCTCTGTCTTCTCCATCCCCAGTGAGTCGTGGAGGATGGCTGCTTATACTGAGCCAGGATTCTCTGGAGGTTTCTTCCTGTTAAAAAGGAATTTTCCTCTCCACTGTCACTGAATGCTTTCTTAGTATGAGGATTGCTGTAAAGTCACTGACACTAGTCAGTGACTTGATGCAATTTGCTGGGTTCCTTATATAGAAAACGATTTACTGATTGGCTTAATGATCTGACCTGTATTGGAATGTTTACTATGTGAAGTGCCTTGTGACTCTTGTCGTGATTTGGCGCTATATAAATAAAATTGAATTGAATTGAATAGAAAAGCACCCATTAACAGAAACAAATTGGGTTCTATTAGAATAAATCAAAGCACAAAGTATTGAAAATAATAACAGTTAATTCATTGTGTCAGCAGCATTTGGACACCTACAGAAAGTGTGCATGTCTGCCTGGATCCATCTGCTCACAGCTCAAATGAGCCATGTGTCCATGAGCAGATTTCTTTGTTTATTTGTGTCTGGAAAGTACAAGCAGTTATCCGTGAATGTGAAAACAACTATAAACAAGATTAAGCAATTTTAGCCAACAGCACCGACAGTTGCAAAGAAGAAACAGACTAAATGAGTAATCAGTGTTATCAATAACCTATTTTCACTCACTCAAGTGTCCAAGATGTACAGCCGCAAATCAGATGAGATGACAAAATCCTTCACTGAACTGTGGCCTAAGGTATCCTGGTGCCTAGAGCCCCTAGCCAATCAGTGGCCAGAGTCACGACGCTCATCCTTTATACTTAAACAAGGTGTTCGTTATGGACAAACCACCACAAGCACAGAAGTCCAAAAACAAAATACCACTTGGATTCAGATCGAAGTGGCCATTCCTCTCAACCAAACCTCTCCATGTCTCACAGGTGTCACCCACATGAACTTTGAAGTCCCCCAGGAGAACAAGGGGGTCACCAGAGGGAGCACTCTCCAGCACCCCTCCAAGGACTCAAAAAAGGGTTGGTAGTCTGACCTGCAGTTTGGTGCATCAACACAAACCACAGTGAGGACCCGTCCCTCCACACGTAGGCTACCACACAGAGAGGCTACTCTCTCATTTGTCGGGGTAAACTCCAACATGCAGGAAACCAAGTATTCCCACCCCTACTCAGCACCCCTCAGCGGGGGCAACTCTGGAGAGTTAGAGTGTCCAACCCATGGACGTAATTTTCACTTTAGAAGTGGGGGGGGGGGCACGGGGGGGGGGGGGGGTATCTTTACAGTATGCTCTAATTGGAAACAGCCTTCAACACAAACAGTTGTTTTCCGCTTGGTCCTAGAGCTCAACCAGTGTCAATTTAATATAGTGTAATGTTGCTTTTGGATGGTAAAAAATGCAGGGGTCAAAACTTGACTTTGGAAAAAGTGGGGGGGACATGTCCCCCCTGTCCCCCCCCAAAAATTACTTCCATGGTCCAACCTCTCACGAGGAAACTGGTTCTGGAGCCAGAGCCATGCGCCGAGGTGAGCTGACTATATCTGCTCCGTTTTATGACTTATTGTCAGACTGTAAACCAGAAAATGGCTGCAGGCAGTGAAGCAGAAAACTCCAGAGCAACCAGTGACTCCATCCCCTAGCCAATCAGTGGACAGCGCAAGTCCCACAATGCGGCTCTAAAATTGATCCCAACCCAGAGATGCAGTTCCCCCCTCATCCACTGGGGGGCTGGTATCAGAAGCGAGCAAATCCTCATTGACTCCCATGTTAAAAATACCAATTTCACAGCAGAAATAAACATGTTTACAGTCTGGTTCCAAAACATGTTTTTGGTTTAAATGATCTAGTTTACACTCATGACAACTCTGAGGGGGGTGAATTTTTTTCTCACTCTTCTGTTTAAGTGTATTAAAAGCCTAAAATTCTGTATAATTAATGAGCATCAGACCCACGTGACCACAGAGCTCCGTGGAAAGGCCTCAGTAGAGCGTCGGTCTGGCCTGGAAACTGCTCCGGGATTTTGAGTCTCTGTGTTTGTGTATTCTTTTTTGGATATTTTTTGTGCAATTGTTGGACAAAATGACTTGCTGTGGCATTAATTGCACTAATAGAGCGTCCAAGGAGTCTCCACTTCATTTTTTTCGGTAAGTAAAATTACATTTATGTATTTTAGGTCACTGCCGAGCTGAGCTTAGATTTTAACATGTACTGTTTAACCATGAAATTTAAATGTAATAGGGTAAAACCCAGTGCATTTAACATAATGCTGCACTTTAGAAAATGGTTGAAATATAACATGTTGGTGGAGCTGGGTTCTGACTATTGGCTTGTGGAGCTCTCGGGAGACCTCTGTTTTCCACCCGGTTCTCCCCTCCCCGCAGCTCGGCGCATCTCTGTCTGATCGCGGTTTCTGTCTGCTGCGCGGGCTGCCGCCTTGTGGAGCTCTGGGATGGAAACCTTTCCACCCGGTTCTCCCCAGCGGCAGCTCTGCGCATCTCAGATCGCAGTGGTGCTTGTCTGCTGTGCGGCTGCCGGCTTGTGGAGGTCTCGGAGACCTCTGTGTTCCACCCGGTTTTACCCAGCGGTCAGCCCGGCGTATCTCTGACTCAGAAGCTCTGGTGTTGTGTACAGTTAACTCCGGTTGTAGCTAGGTTGCTACCTCCGTTAGCTTAGCTCCCACCTCCGCGTTAGCTTTGGGTTAGCTTCAGGTTAGCTTGTAGCTAGTTCGACCGGGTGTCGTCAGTTGATCCCAGCCTTACAGCTCCACCTCTCTTCCCTTTTGTGGAATTGTCTGGGCTTGACGGAATCTGTGACACAGTCAAAATGGCGGTGGTAGCCACCTCCCATTTGGCCTCAAAAACGTGTTATTGGAGCCTATGGAAACCCATTGTCCAATATTTATATGTCGATGGGCCAGAGTCACAATGCCAGCCAGGGGAACCTGTCAAACTCACACATAGATGCAGGCTCTTTCCCAACCAGAGAGGGGACATTCTATACAGAGAGCCAGCTTCTGTAGCCGAGAATCAGACCACCAACGTCCCCGCCTACGGCCCACCTCACACTGCACCTAAGCCCTATGGCCCTCCCGTGAGTGGTGAGCCCATGGGAAATGTCATTTCATGTTTCTGTAAATATGAACTTTTGAATCATTCCTCCCAAACAGAGGAAAACAAACATGTTTTCATTACAGCGTTATGTAGTTTGTCGAAATTTGCTGACTTTTTGAAAGGTACATGTAAAACTGACCTATGTGTCCAGGCAGTGGGGAATGCGGCCTTGGCAGGGTAGGCGACGTATTGGTCAGGATGAGGCTTTTCCTGTTATTGGCTCTGCAACTGAAAAACAATGAGAACAAACAATTAGTTGTTTATCTTCATTAAATCAACTTCCAAGAGACAAAAACTGACACGAATGGTGCTGTGGCCTCAGGAAAGTAAAATATATGTCATGTAGGCATGTACGCCTTCCATCCAGAGAACACTTTAGCTTTGTTTGAACATGTTACGTGACTTTATTGACATCTGTACATCTAGAGAGAAACAACAATACATTTTCATTTCCTCTCATCCCCTCAACAGCTCCTACCCTGGAAGACAATGACAGGAGAGGATGAAAAGGCTCAGGGAGAACCAATACATACCATAATAAAAAACCTGAAATGATTGAACCATTAATACTTCACATGCTGCAGTCCCTCTGGATGTGTCATTGGACCGTTCCTCGAGGGAACACACACAGACACACAAACAAGGGTTATTATTGTCTTACATAACAGCTCATAAAGTGAGAAATGGATTGCTCAGGTGTTGTTTTTGTGTATCGACTGGTGTTTGCTCGCCAGCTGTAAGCGTGCGTGTTACAGATCAGATTTAGCAGAGTAAAAAATAAGTTTTCATCTCATTGCATCAGCCACCATGCTGCTCCAAATCTGCATGGGAAATACTGTAAATCTCACACAAAGACGTACAGACATGCAGAGACACAATGTTTGCCTATTATTCAATACATTTCAAGATGAAAACCCTAGCTCTAGTGTGTATATCGCCATTCTGACTTCCTCCTTCATCCCCTCCTGTCTCTTTGATACAATTCTTCAGCAGTTGTCTCTCGCAATCAGATTGGTGGCAGTGTGTCTTTGTGGGCACCAGAGCTTGTAGGCAGTCTAGCAGAACCAGTGAGGAATATATTGAAATATTTATGGGAAATGCATTAAGCTTTGGACAGAGAAAGGGTTGGAAGTGGTTCAACACCCTCCTTCACTCTCACTCTTTCAATGAGAACAGACGAGTAAAGCTGGGGTGACGGAGCAGACCAAGCAAAGAGCTATCAAGCGCAGACAGTTCCCTCATTTGTGGCATGCTGTCACTTGTGTCCATCTGGAATTATCCTCCTGACACAGTTTTTTCACTTCCTAACCTTCTGACATGTGAATCCATCTGCTCTTCATCAACCAGAAGTCTCCCAAGGACGTTGTTTATAGCGCCAGCTTGACTCCAGAACATTAACGTGGCTTTTGATCCCTGACTCATCTCATACCTGAGCTGTTGCAGGCTTCCACGGATGTAACAAGTGGTACTGATTTACTGTGAAGTCAGAATCTGAGTTTTTCGGGGATTAATCTTAAATGCAACAAAATGACTAAATTCATCCTTTGTTAACTCATCGTCCATTCTACTCTAGGGTCATCTTTACTGAGCATCGCATCCTGCATAAAGCTCATCCAGTTCTCTCCCTTTTCCACAATCAATTCAATGGATAATGAATAATTAAATGTATGAAATCAAGGCCGTTACCCCCTGCAAGTTCCCTTTAAAGAGAATATGGTTGACTAGACAACTGAGGACTAAAACACAATGGAAGCTCCTGAGGGTAGAGCCATCTAATCTTCCCATGAAGGGAAAATTCTTTTCTTGCTTTTCGACATTGTTATCTTAAATGAGTTCTGCAAAAGGGCATTTAGCCCGAAGCATTTGTACAGTAACAAAGGCTTAACAGGAACACTGCTGTTTGTTCTGTACTTGAGCTGCCAGTCATCCAAGGAAAGGTCAAACTACAACTTCATTCATTTTCAAACTATGAGAAGCACGTGTGAGGCACGCAAAGTGGGCGTACAAACAGATCTGCTTAAGAGACTGATTAGGGGAAAAAAAAGATTTTTCTGACTTTTGAGGCCAAGGTTGGGTCTCATAATAATAGGCTGGTTTGATAATCAATTCTGACAAAGGCAGAAGCCTATTTTCTTCCTTTTCCCACATCCTATCCAGCTGTAAAGCAGTCAGAATTGATTTTTGTCTCTCACAGGTTATAGATTCAGCTATAATGCTCCACCTGATATCAAAAGTTTATTAGAAATGCTTTGAGTTGTTTTTAATCCCAATGGACACAGAGACAGAAATGAAAGAGAAACGGAGGAGAGGAAAGGACGAGTCGAGGCGGGCATTCACAAAAATAAATAAAACAGGATTTACAAGCATCCGCTTCTAGACCGGCTGAAAGGACAAGAGAAAAAAAGGGACACACAAAGGAGCATCAGATGGATGAAAGAGCCGCACCTGGCTCCAGAGGTGCAGGTTGCCAATCCCTGGTCCAGGAGATAGTCCCGTTCTTACTGGGGTAACAACAAGCTGGCAACCCTGCCAAAGCGACCCACAATCCCAGATCCCAACCAGACGGCCAGCAACTACTCCTAGTCTCCAGCCATGGGCAGCAAACTGAGAACAGAGGTGTGAGAATCCCCTAGTCTCCCTCAGCCTGCTCCAATGTGGTGTTAAAGTGTGTTGTCATAGAGTGCACTAAAACAGGTGAGAGGAAAGGGCAGTGAAGACACCCTCTGGCTGACACCAGTTGGTTGAGCAATGTGGTTTTGGTCCGTGGAACACTGGACCAGCTCTATACCCTTAGGAAGGTCCTGGAGGGTGCGTGAGAGTTTGCCCAACCAATCTACGTGTGTTTCGTGGATTTGAAGAAGCCGTTTGACCATGTCCCTCGGGAGGCCCTTTGGGGGGCATTTCGGGAGTATGGGGTACCAGGCCTTCTGATACGGTCTGTTAGGTCCCTGTATGACCGGTGTCAGAGCTTAGTCCACATTGCCGGCAGTAAGTCAAACTCATTTCTTGTGAGAGTTGGGCTCCACCAAGAGTGCTCTTAGTCACCGATTCTGTTCGTAACTTTTATGAGCAGGTTTTCTGGGTGCAGCCAAGGTGTTGAAGGGATCCAGATGGGTGGCCTAAAGCCTAATTTATACTTCTCCGTCAGCTCCACAAGGAAGAGACGCACACATGGACAGAGACGTTTGCTCTCTGACTTCTCCGTCTCCTGGGGAGTGTTGCAAAGCAATTCTCCGCCAGGACAACAGAGGGCGTAGCGCCAATCTGTGGTATCCTTTCACGTATCCGATCCAAGATAGTGTGTTGACTATTGTGTTTATATTGTGTTGTGTTTTTGTATTTCTGAGACTTTTTAACACAGACAAATTTGTCCCTTATTCTCCTTCACCTCTTCATGCACTCGCCACTTCTAAACCCACGTTTCTCATTATTTCCGTCCGCGAATAAAACGCTCACTTCTCCAGTCATGGGTGAATAAAATGTTCATAATTTAGAGGTTTTCCACGAAGCATTCTTCAAGCTGCTTCATGTCTGCCACAAGATATCTTCAGCTCTCTTCATGTTTATGAAAGCACAATGGCGATGCTGTCTATGACAGCGGCATCCAACCCAATCACAAGCTTGCATTATCCGTCTTGTTGGATGGATGTTTAGAAAAGAGAGCTCCACTCCCTCCGTCCTTGTGAGCCTACTGGACAGCCCTCGAAAGGACGTTGCATGCATCCGTCCTGATGCAGACGTCGTCGTCGTCTTCCTCCGCTTATCCGGGTCCGGGTCGCGGGGGCAGCATCCCAACTAGGGAGCTCCAGACCGTCCTCTCCCCAGCCACCTCCACCAGTTCCTCCGGCAGGACCCCAAGGTGTTCCCGGACCAGTTTGGAGATGTATTCTCTCCAACGTGTCCTGAGTCGACCCGGGGGCCTCCTGCCGGCAGGACATGCCCGAAACACCTCCCCGGGGAGGCGTCCAGGAGGCATCCTGACCAGATGCCCAAACCACCTCAACTGGCTCCTTTCGATCCGGAGGAGCAGCGGTTCTACTCCGAGTCCCTCCCGAATGTCCGAGCTCCTCACCCTATCCCTAAGGCTGAGCCCGGCCACCCTACGGAGGAAACTCATTTTGGCCGCTTGTATCCGCGATCTCGTTCTTTCGGTCATTACCCAAAGCTCATGACGATAGGTGAGGATTGACGTAGATCGACCGGTAAACCGAGAGCCTGGCTTTCTGGCTCAGCTCCCTCTTCACCACGACAGATCGGCTCAGCGTCCGCATCACTACAGATGCTGAACCAATCCGCCTGTCGATCTCCCGATCCCTCCTACCCTCACTTGTGAACAAGACCCCGAGATACTTAAACTCCTCCACTTGAGGTAGGACCTCTCCCCCGACCCGGAGTTGGCAAGCCACCCTTTTCCGGACGCAGACAGAGAAGTATAAATTAGGCTTAAGGATTTAGTCTTTGCTATTTGCAGATGATGTGGTTCTGCTGGCTTCATCAGAACATGATCTCCTGCTCTCACTGGACCGGTTCGCAGCCAAGTGTGAAGCGGCTGGGATGAGAATCAGTTCCTCTAAATCTGAGAGCATGGTCGTGAGTAGGGATGAGTCAGGGACGAGGTCCAGTCTCATCTGGAGGGGTTTGAGCATCTGGGGTTCTTGTTCACGAGTGAGGGAAAGATGGAGCGTGAGATCGACAGGCAAATTGGTGCTGCATCTGCAGTGACGGGGGGTTGTTCTGATCTGTCGTGGTGAAGAGAGAGCTGAGCTAGAAGGCAAAGCTCTTGATTTACTGGTCAATCTACATTCCTACCCTCACCTATGGTCACGAGCTTTTGGTAGTGACCGGAAGAATGAGATCGTGGATAGAAGCGGCTGAAATGGCTACAGTCATTAGCTGAAACATGTAAGGTAAAAAAACTATTTTTTTTACTAAGCTCTGTAAAAAAAGAACAAAGTCATGGATTATGAAGTTACACACAGAACAAATAAACAAAAGAGTCCAAAATGAGTTTTCTCTGCAGGGTGTCTGGGCTCTCCCTTAGAGATAGGGTGAGAAGCTCGGCCATCTGGGAGGGGCTTGGACGCAAGCTTGTGATTGGTCAGGGCACCACTGTTGTCTACACCGCCGCCATTGCGCCCTCAAAAACATAAAGAGAGCAGAGAATAACTAGAGGCAGACACGGAGAAGTTTGAAGAATACCTCGCAAAAAACTCTAAAATATGAACGTT